TGGGTGTTTCTGCAGCGGACTTCGTTGTTGTTGTTGTTATTATTAGAAACAGTTATGTCCACCACAGCTGGAACTTCCGCGCCACGGAGGGAGTGGGAGTATGCCGTCTCTGTCTTTGCCGGCTGCGTCTCTGGCGTGTGCTCTACGTGTATCACGAACCCGCTTGATACCATTCGCGTTCGACTCTCTGCGAGTCGAGGTGCCACCGGCAAGCCGCATAAAAGTCTCCTGTATACTGTAAGGGATCTATTCGGTATGGGAGTCGGACACGCCTTTTCGCGTGGTCTCGGGGCGAACATGATGGCGTCACTCCCTTCCAACGGCATCTATCTGCCGTCGTACCGCTTTTTGCAGGAGGAAATGGCGCAGCTGGGCGTGGATGAGCGTATACGACCCGCTTTGTGTGCTATTGGTGCTGTTTGTACCACGAATTTAACGCTTGCGCCGCTCTTTTTGGTACGCACGCGTGTGCAGGTGGATGATAGAATGACCGTACGAGAAGTATTTAGGGATGTGATGCGTCGTGAGGGATTTGTCGGCTTCTACCGCGGTACGGTGACAAACATAGGTGGGCGCTTTGTAGAGGAGGGTCTCTTCTGGTCCGTGTATGAGCTTCTTAAACGCATAACAAAGGAAGGGTCTTTTAAAGATTCAAACAGCTTTCTTCTGACATCTGCGGCGATGGTATCGCTGACGATGGTCTCGAAGCTGGTGGCGGTGGGTGTCGCCTACCCATACAACGTTGTCATTACGCACCTGCGTACCGTGAACCTTGTGACACGTCAATGTGAACACACACGATTTTTCCCTACAATACGGCATATTTATCAAGCGGATGGAGTTGTTGGCTTTTACAAGGGCCTCTCTCCCCACCTGCTGCGAAGCATCATTAGTAAGGCAGCGCAGATATACGCCTTTGAGATTGTCATGTATGCGTACATGTGCTTCAATGCGAGGGCTAAATACGCAGCTGTACTTTCTTCAAACTCTGCGACAGCGACATCCCCTATGGCGGTCTCTGAGGCCGATTAAGAGTGGAACTTCAACGACGTGTTGTGTGATAGAGAAAGAAAAGAAACTGGGTTTAATAGAATTAAAAAAAATATATAAAAAACGACTTTTTCCGTTTTGTTTTGCCAAAGTGGTGAATTTATTGAGGGTGAGACTAACAAAAAAGGAGGAAAAAAAATGGACAAGTTGCACTCTTATCACAATTATTGATCTCTCTCTCTCTTTTTTTTTTTTTTCTTGCGTGCTTGTGTGTTTCTGCAGGGGAGGAAGTTATTTGCCTGTGAGTTCTCTCTTTTTTTCTTCCTACCAGCAATACGTTTCTGTGGATGGATAATAACATAGACGAAAGAGAGAAGGAGTGAAATAATTTAAATTGGTCCTTTCTCCCTTCACACATTGCCATAGATTGGAATTCCCTTTCTCCCTCTACCTCACTCTCTCTTTCTCCATATTTCTTTTTTCTTTATATATATCTATATATCTATACTTCTTCTCTTTATTGTCACCTATGCATATGTGCATTGTCCAGATTTATACACCGCTTTGCCTTTGTTCCTTTCTTTGATTTGTCTGTCGCTGACTTCACACGGAGGAGGGAGGAGAGAGATGGCGATAAAATGACGGTGCTTGAAAGGGGAAGGTGTCTGTCTGTGTGTTTTATTAACGCACAGACACACATACACACACACAGACAAGTATTTGTGTGTCATTTGGGGGTGAAATGCGGAGATGAGCCATGCTGTTGTCAGCATTGTGCTTTACTTTATTTTGTAACTTTGACGCAAGGGAAATGCAACAATAATTGAGAACCTGAGGGCCGAAGTAAAAAAAAAAAAGTGGAAGGTGTTTAGGAATTGCTTGCATGTTTGTCACCCCTTTGTCAGTTTTGAGAGATTCTGCCATTGGGTCAGGCACTCATGTGTGTACTTTCCTGAAGATGTATTCACGAGGGGCGGGCGAGAGGGCGAAGAGGAGGCAAAAAGAAGAATAACAAAAGCAACTACACAACATCCCCAAAAGGGCGGGGGTGAAATAAAAAAAGAAGGAGCGAGGGAACGAAGAGGAGTTACGATGGAACTCCGATGAATTGCATCGCCATGCTGGTATGGCGGTGGTGGCGGTGGAGGCGGTGGAGAGGTATAATACTCTAACCCAATTTCCCTTTTTTCTTTTTTTCCCCTTTTTTAAATTTTGTTGTCATTTGGAACGTTGACACGCAGTCGCATTGCACGTTTTTTTTTTTTTTTTTTTTTTTTTTTGCGGAGTTCTGGAGCCTTCTCTCTCTCTTCCACGCTGCTCTCTGCCCCCCTTTTTTCCCCAGTGCGAGGAACATCATTGGCACATGAACAGGAGAACAAAAGCGCCGTCTGTGTCCGTGGAGGAGACTGAGGATACACGACTGGAAAATTTTGGGCGATTTCTTTACGAGTCCTTTGTAAAGAACGTTTGTCCGTCCATATTTGAACCACAGCTTCGATATTATGGTGACTACATTCATCACTTTGGCTTTTTTGTAGAGGTCAATACGAAGGGGCAGAGTGTTTCTTTCTTGTCGTCCACAAAACATCCACATGGTCGTCATGATGGTGTGTCGTTCTCCCACGATGGTGCCGCTTGCGGAGGCGATGTTGTTGTGGACGCCGGGTGGGGGATCGGCGAGTCGGAGCAGAAGGAAGCGGATGCACAAGCACGCGCAGTTGGCCCGTTGGATGGGGTAACAAAACTGGAGGAAATAACAGCAAAAGTAATTGCGCCGTTTCAGCAGACAACGTGGAGACAGTCTGGGACACAGTGCTTGATGAAGAAGGCACGGGCATTGTATTGTTGGTTGTGCGAGAACATAACTGTGGAGCTTCCATCACCTTCTCCCGCGGTCGAGGAAGAGGCCGCTCCTGCTGTCACCACTGCAAAGAAAGTGACTGGACGAAGGGGCGCCGCGGCATCTCGTAACGCAAAACGAAAGTTAGGGGTTGATGTGCAATCCACAACAGCCCCCGTGGAGGTTGTCGACCCGCTTGAGGCGGCCATGCGTAAGCGTACCGCTGACCCGCTTATTTTGGCACGCTTGTATCAGAAGTGCCTGTACTGGGCTCAGGTGGAAAGTAAGGTGGTTGAAGGCTACGTGCGAGGACGTGCGCCGGAGGAAGTCATGGAATGGGCATGGAATATTGTGTGTATCCCACAGGGGGAGAACAGCATGACACGGTACCTGGTGGACGTTGCTCTCTCGGCCTACACTGGACCGCTACGTCACACCACACGGAATAAAGACGTTGTGGAGGAAGCAGAGGCTGGTAGGGACCCCAGTTCAAAGGATTTGCCATCTGTTAAATCCAAGCGTCCTGCTGTCCTCCAGAAAGAGAAGCCAAAACAAAACTTCCTTGACGGCCCAATTTTGGCGTCGTCTGTTTCAGCGGAGAAATGCATGGAAAGTTTCTATTTCAATACAAAACCACAGGAATTTTGCTTCACTCACTTACCTAAAGAGAGCCACAATACATTACTCTTGAATCCGCCACGGAAATCTCTGTGGGAGGGCGCTCCCTGTCTGACGCACACGTTCTTTCGTTTCCCATTGGCGTTGCAGTCACACCGACGTCGATGCCTCTTCACGGTGCGTTCCACGCCCTTTTATATTAGTCTTATAAATGAGAAACCTGAGCGGACGGAGCTTTCCTGCTTCATCTACAAGGGCACACTGGAGGCGTTGCCCGAAGATCTCAGCACGGCGACACCGCTGGGACCTCAGTGGGTGTGGCACCAACGCGAGGAGGCCACCAATAGCGAGACATTTACAATAATGGTGCCAGAGGCTGGCTACCATAGCATTGTGGTGGGTGCGAGAACGATACGCAAAGACCCTTTTACTGCAGTCGTTTCTGAGGAACTTTTTGTGCCTGTTGTGGCTTATCAAGTTCTAGTGACGTTTGTTCCGCATCAATTACCGCAATTTCCCCGCCAGTACTTCACCCCCTCGGTTTGTAAACTTCTTGCACCTTTAACGCCTCATGTTCCGGAGGGCTCTACACATTTTGTTGTGATGCCATCGTGCCCAAATGTTGCGGGTGTGGCGGTCGTCTCAAAGCAACCCAGTGAGGGAGAGAGATTGCTGTTGGCATTCCTGACCTTCTCGCCCCAAAACGTCGCGTACACGGGCACCGTGGTACTGACCAGCGGCAGCGAGGCTGAGGTGTGGATCCTCTACGCCGCGCCGGACCATAATTATGTGAACTTGACGGAACTTCCTCGTGCGGAGCCGCGTTTCCAAACTCGGTTACCTCCTTTAGGCTCAGATGTTGGTGTTGTTCATGGCGTTTTGCCGCATATATCGCCGCAGAAACCGAAAAGAGAATCGAATTTGCTGTTTTTCCCTTTTGTGACGGGCATCGAAGTCAAGAAGCCTGGCGCGGCTGTTAATGAAGGGTGCTACATCCAACCGCAGCCCACACTGGAGGAGGAAAACCAGCTAACACTCCGGCGCCTCATTGGCGTGAAACCAGAGCTTCTGGATGAGGTGACGGCTGCCATGTTGAAAAGGTCGTTGCCTGTTGGATCTTACTTTGACAAGAAAATTTCACTCGGTTGGAGGGCGGTGGGGGATGTGTGATGGCAAAGATGACTCTTGGATCCGTCTTTTATGTAATAGAAGAAAGAAAAAAAAAAGCAAGACCGCGTGGGGACGTTGAGACGCCGTGGCGTCTTGAGTTGGCATATATATATATATATGTATATTACTTTTTTTATTTTCTCCCCTCGTATTTTGTGCTGCTGTTGTCGGGTTTTTCTTTGAGGGTTGTGTGGAGGTGTGGACCCCTTCCGTAGTGAGTGAAACAGACCTAAATTTCCCTTTCCTGTACTTTTTCTTTATTTTATTTTTCTGGAAAAAACGACGGCCGCAGCATGAACGAAGGAGAGGGGAAGGGCCATCAAAGCACACACGCAGTCGCCGGTCTAAAGAAAGAAAGAAAAAAGGAGACAAACCGACACGAATGCTATCCTGCGCGGTGATTGGGTGCGGTGCTGCCGGGATGGCGGCTTGCACGGCCTTACGTCGGAGTGGTTTGCTAGTGACATGCTTTGAGCTGGCGGCAGACCCTGGTGGCATATGGAACAGCGACCCACGCAGCCCTTTTTCCTCGCGGGGACTTGTGTCACCTGTACACCCAACGATGCGATGTGTACTACCAAAAGACCTGATAAGTTTTGGCGATTTGCGTTTTGATTACACTGTGCCGCAGTTCCCACATCACTCTTCTGTTTGTCGCTACTTGGAGCAGTATGCGGAGAAGATGGGCATCCGAGGGCTTGTGCGCTTCAACACGAAGGTGCAGTCCGTCCGTTACGAAGAACGGGATGCCCTGTGGCGCATTATTACAGTTAACGTTGTGAATGGTGACGTTTTTGAATGGTCATTTGATAAGGTGTGTGTGTGCACCGGTCAAACACAGGAGCCACGATACCCGGACGGAATAAAGGAATTGCTAGAGCCCTACCTGAGGGAGGGTGGTGAGCTGCATCACGCCTCGCATGTAAAGGATTTTCGCCAGTTTAAAGGAAAACGTGTTGTTATTGTGGGCGACGGCGTCACGGCATGTGACTACTGCTGGGAGCTGTTACGTAGTGGCTCTGATGTGTACCAGAGCAGTTGCCAATCTCTTTACATGCCGCAGCAACGCCAACAACAACAACAACTCGAGAACGGTGCGAACTGGTCTTCTTTGAAGATGCATGAAGGTGGGGCTATGCGTGATGCGGCAAGCGCCGCTCTGCACCTGCTTTCCTGCTCACCTGGCTGGCGTAAGGATATTACAAAAGGCAACCGCATTGTTTCAAACTGGATTAAATTTAGGAATATTGCTTGCTGGGGAGGGATGCCAGGCGTTGGACACCCTCTTCGCAGTGAGGGACGCGGCATATTATTCGCAGAGCAGCCGAAGCGGATAGTGGATATAATTGCCGAGGCAAAAACACGCTCTATGGCGCGCGATCGGCAGGGAGGGATCCAAAGTTCAGACGATACCCCGGGTGAAATCTTTGTTGATAACATCGATGCGATCATTTGTGCCACCGGATATCACACACGCTACCCGTTTCTGCATCGTGACATGCGAAATGTGGTGGAGGGATCATCGCTGCTGCAAATTTCCAAAGGTGAAGGGGGGCAATCACCGCCGTCGCATGGAGATAGTACCGGCAAAGAAATGCACCATCATCGTGGACTTTATCTGGGCACACTGTACGTTCACCGTCCTTCCATTGCATTTGTGGGGATACAAAAGGAACTGTTGCCGCCTTTTATGCTTTTCGAAGCGCAGGCGAAGTTTATATCTTATGCCTTTACGCATCGGGTGAAGCTTCCTGTTGGCGTGGAGGGTCTACTTTCGCGGCAGTCCGAGTTGATGAAGCGTTACCCACTGCTTGAGAATTTGTATCATCCTCAGGGCCTTGGGTTGTACTCGGCGTTGTATTTCAATGTCCTTCAGGAAGAGCTGCAGGTTGGCTCCCGCAACACATACACCGCCAGCATCGTGGAGCGGCGGAGTTGGATTCTTACAACAAGTCTGCTGCGTCTTGTACACAAGCTGCGATCCGTGGCTCCGTTGAAAAGAAAGAGGCAGCATGTTCTTTTCAGCAACGCGATATAGTTTTGCGATGGAGGGACACCCAATTGTGTGAGTAGCCATGCTCGCTGTTTTTTTTTTTTTGAGCGACCATATGACACGTTGTTGGGGCGCAATTGTTTCCTTGCTTTTTGTGGGATTGGCGATTTCGTGATTTCTCCTTCTCTTCACTTTTTTTTTTTTTTTTTTCTTACGTACATGTGGAAGGAGCTTTTTACGAGAACAGCGAGGGAAGCAGAAAGAGGAGTTGGTGGAGGGGAGCTAAACAAAAAGGAGGCGGATATATATATATACATATATTAAACAACAACAACAACAACAACGACAGCAACAGCAACAAAGAAGAAGAACAACAAAAGGAGTGGTGGGGTTTAGCACAACACGTTTTTTTGTTCTTTTTTACTTTCCTATTAAGAGTTTGACACGCCGTGGCACTTTGCATTTGCCACCCCAGCAAGAGGAGGAAGAGTAACACGTGAAAGTACGCCACGGCATGCGTCGTGCGACTGTCTTTCCGCTGCATGCCGGCGTTGTTATAAAAGTCACTGGGGCGGCTCGTTTCTGTAGTGCCGCGGCCACCGCCGCTGCCGCACCATCGATGCCACCGCCGCCGGTGTCAACGACGGGACGGACGCTCATCCGCAACATGAGGCCGCGGGAGCTGATGAGGGAGCTGGACAATTACATCATTGGGCAGAACGAAGCAAAGAAGGCGGTAGCGGTGGCGCTGCGCAATCGCTGGCGACGCCACCATGTGGGTCCGGAAATACGCGAGGAAATTGCACCGAAGAACATCCTCATGATAGGGCCTACGGGCGTTGGAAAGACGGAGATTGCCCGGCGTCTGGCAAAGTTGGTGGATGCGCCCTTTGTAAAAGTGGAGGCAACCAAATTTACGGAGGTGGGCTTTCACGGCCGGGATGTGGAGAGCATCATTGAAGACCTCTACAAAGCATCGTTGACGCAAACAAAGCAGAATCTCATGCGGCAGAACGAAGCGGTGGCCCGACAGAAGGCAGAGGACCGTATTTTGAAGGCTTTGGCCGGTGTGTCGGATGGGTTTCGCGAGCACCTTCGCTCCGGTGCCCTGGATGACATAGAGGTGATGGTGGAGCTGCAAGAAAAGGCACCGAAGCCCAAGACAGCAGCAGGCGAAGGTGTCTTTATTGCCATTGATCTCCCCGGCGCCTTGGGCGCTGCACAGACCCGGACGGTGAAGAAGTTACTAAAGATTAAGGACGCCCTTCCTGCCGTGCAGCAGGAGGAGCTTGAGAAGATGGTTGACACGGAGGATGTTTCCGCTGAGGCGTTGCGAGCCTGTGAGGAGGATGGCATCGTGGTGATTGACGAAATTGACAAGATTGTCACCGCATCCGGGGGGTACAAGGGACATCAGGCCTCTGCGGAAGGTGTCCAGCAGGACCTGCTCCCGCTTGTGGAGGGCACAACTGTGTCAACCAAGTTTAATGTGCAGATTAAGACGGACAAAATTCTTTTCATTTGCAGTGGTGCCTTTCATAACGTGAAACCCTCTGACATGTTGGCAGAGCTTCAGGGACGACTCCCCATTCGCGTAGAGCTGAAGCCGCTCACTTCCGACGACTTTCACCGCATCATAACAGAGCCCAAGTACAACCTAATTAAGCAACATATTGCAATGATGGAAACGGAGGGAGTCAAACTTGTCTTTACGGAAGACGCTCTCTGGGAGATCGCCACGGTTGCCGCTCACATAAACTCCACCGTGCAGAACATCGGTGCACGTCGACTCATCACCATCACAGAGAAGGTGGTTGAGGAAATCAGTTTTGATGGTCCTGACAGAAAGGGTGAGACGTTTGTCATCGACGCAGAGTACGTCAAGAAGTCTGTAGAAAACATGGTGAAGAAGGTGGATATTAAGAAGTTCATTCTTTAGATAAAAAGATTTATTTATACTTATATGTATGTATGTAACTATATATATATATCTACATATAAGTAAATACTGAAATATTTTCTTTTGCCTGCCGTGCACTCATTATTACCGCAAATGTCGTGCGCGGAGAGGAGCGAAGAAAATTGAACGAACAGAAAAATGACGGCTCTCTTTTTTTTTTTTTTTCCTTTTTTTTTTTCTTTTTTTTTTTTCTTTGGGCCTCATTTTTTAGAAATGGACGGAAATACATCCATGCAGACAAGAAGGCGACATATATATATATATTGGGATTTGCCTCCCACGCCATACATACATATGTGTGGTCTTTTTTTCTTTTTTTTTCTTTTGGATGTATGCAGGGATTTGGACGTTGCTAGGGGATCCGGAGGAGGTGAGTGCGTGAAGGGGCAGGAGAGGCGCTGGCGGCGAACGAATTTGTCAAGAGCCGGAGACGGTGGATGGGAGAAGAAAAGGAAAGGGAAATGCGTGTGTGGCAAAATAAGGGAAGGAAAACAAAACAAAAAAGAACGAGGGAAAAGAGGAGGGAAAAACAAACAAACAAAAGAAAAAAGGCGAAGGAAGCATTAAAAAACAGGACAGAAGTTCTGAAGACATGCGGAGGGAGGAATGGGGGGAAACAAATAAAATTTACAAAAAAAAAAGAAAACGGAAACAAACAGAAGGGAATTCAAAAGGCACGTGCAAAAATAATAATAAATAAGAAGAAAAAAAAAAAAGAGAGGAGGGATGAGATGAGGGTTTAAACAGCCGTTCATCCACTGGGACGGGGGGAAAAAAACAACAACACACCGCCGTCATATGTTGTTTGCGGTATTTGGAGATTCATCAGTTGTGTGTGCCTTTGTGAATACGTGGCAGTTTTTTTTTTTTTTTTCTTCTGACTCTTTTTTTCTCTCTTTCTTTTTTTTTTAAATTTTATTTTGCATGTGCCTTTGCGTTTTTTTTTATTTTTATTTGTGTGTTTCTGCCATTTTCTCTGGCGCTGTGGCTTTTTTTCCCCTTCTCCCCCCTTTCTCTGCAGTATGAGTGAATGCTTGTGTGTGTGTCTTTGGCAATGGCCACTGCGACGCCTGTAAGAGGCTCGGTAGCAGCGTCCTTTTGTTATTATTGTTTTTGTGTTTTGTTTTCTTTTTTGGCCTTTGCTGCACGTGTCTCAGAGCTGTGACGTAATTCTTCCCCGCCTTACCACTCTCTTTTTTTTTTTTTTTTTTTTCGTTCTGTTGTTGTTGTTGTTACCTTTCACCCCACTCTTTCTCGCTCACTTTCTCTCCCTTGTTTACCTCCGGCACTTGTGTTGGTTGCGTCAGCATGCGTATTTATTTATATTCGCATACATGTGCCTTCCCCTCCCCCCCCCCCCCCCCTTCCTGCCAGTGTCTGTAAGATGACGGCATGTGTTCTGCAGCTCTCTTGCATCGCTGTTTCTTTTGTATTCACCGTTTGTTGCGCCTTTTTTCAAGCGGCGTGCGTGTGTGTGTGGGCGTGGTTTGCAGTCCGCCACTCGCAGGCACAGACAGAAATAGGTTTACGGGACGTTTAGGCGGTGAGGAGGCGAAAAAGAAAAAGAAGGAAAAGAAAAAGAAAAGAACCGAGCAAGAACGAGGGCGAGCGCAGGAACGGAGAAGGGGCGAGAATGCGGTCGACGGCACTGTGGCTGTACAAGATGCCGAAGAACATGGGCGTCGCGCCGCGCTTTGATGTGTGGAATGAGTCGTACGAGCCATGGCAACACATGAAGCGCATGGGTCGGCTGGTAGGCACCGGCTTCTACATTCCGCCCGAGTGGTACAACCACTTCCGCATGTTTCCGCCCATAAATCACAACTTCCAGCAGGAGAAGACACTCAACCCGCGTAACGAGAGCGAGCCAACGCAGGACGACACGGGGTCGCTCAGCCAAGAGCGGGCGGCACTCCGCGACGAGTTAGCGCGGAAGAGTCGGCTGCTGGCGTCGGAGGGGATGCGGTATTACAACATCTTTTGGGTGCGCAAGCCGCTTGATAGGATGGAGAAGGAATACTACGAGCTCAAGAGGAAAGGTATTGCCCACAGCGAGGCCATCAAGAAGGTGCTGGAGGGCTTTTACAAGGAGTTGGCGGTGAAAAAGCGTGTGGCAGCAGTGCAGGCAGAAGAGGCGAAATTATCGGGGCGGTTTATCACAATGCGTGAGGCAACTGTTGTGCTGAACGTCCTTGCCCAGTTGCATCGCGAACAGCTCACACCGCATCAGGTGGCGCTTCTTGCACGGGAACAGCACCAGGCTACAGAGAAGGCAAGCGGACTCACGGCAACGGTGTCTCGCGTGTCAGCTCCAGCAGCGGGCATAGATGCGGATTCAACAGCGTCAAAAGAATCAGGCTCCGACGAGGCCCTTTCGGCGGATTCGCTGGCGAACATGTTGGAGGATGATCATGCGAGCGGTGCTGGGACGCAGTACCAGGTGGAGGTGAAGCATAGCGCACGCGACAGCGTGAGACAACTGCATGAAAAGTCGACAGACGACACCGGTTCACCCGATTGGTACACCGGTGCGTCGCCTGTGTACAATGGCGCCGCGTAGCGATGACTCTCTGACGTTTTACTCGACTTCACTGAGCACGCATGAAAGCTCTGTGCTGCTCGTTTTTTTTTTTTTCTTTGAACAAATAATAAAAAAAATATCTTTAATTGCGCATTAACTTTCTAAACTCTTACATCCACACACACAGCCGCTTTTTTTTTCCTTCTCTTTTTTTTTTTTCTTTTTTTTTGTTACCATGTGGGGAGTGGGGGGAGTTGAACATGTCGTTATCCATCGATTCTGCTCCCCGTTTGCCATACGTCGTAGTGCCCGAAGCGTTGCGAACCGAGTACGGCTTTCTTGACACCTGCGCTCTTTATTACTGCGCGCAAGTTGAACATTTTGTGGTGTCGACTGGCGACGGAGGAGATCGAGAGCCCGCAGTTTTGTTTATTACATGCGACAGCCTCTACATTGGTGATAACCAGGGAGGGATTTACCGGCGCGTGGAACTCAAGAATATTTGCTGCATTTTGACCAACATTGGTTTCTCTTTGTCTGATAACCCCAGCAGTTCGCGGAGTC